GAATTGCTAAATTCACACGTGATGTTTAGCAATTCCATAAGATGGGAGCGACTGGAGGCGAATAATTTGAGGTCATCCATGTAGAAAAGGTGGGTCACTTTTGTACCTCCTTTCCGAAGCTGAAATCCCCTCCCGGAGCCCTCCAGTAAAGTACTGAGAGGGTTCAAAGAGAGGCAGAACCAGATTGGACTCAGACAGTCGCCCTGGAATATACCCCTTCTTATCCTTATGCGGCTTTCCGCAGCCGTCATCCGCTCGCCTAGATGACAGAGGATCGTACTCCACTGCCCCATACACTGCTCGAGGAAGTCTCGAACTGTACAGTCAATCTTGTACAGCTCGAGGACCCTCTTTAGCCATGTATGGGGCACCGAGTCAAATGCCTTTCTGTAATCTATCCAGGCGGCGGAGAAGTTCCGACGGTTGCGTTTCACCACTTTGCCAATGACCGCGTCAATGAGGAGTGGTTCCTTGGTTCCACGACCGCCGCCCCGACATCCATTTTGAGCGCGCGACATCACCTGATTTAAGTCCAGGTGACGAGCGATTCTTGCGCTCAAAATGGATGTTAGTGTCTTGTATATGGTCGGTAGACACGTGATGGGGCGGTATTTGCTCGGGTCTGTGGCACCCTGATCTTTAGGAACCAAATGAGTGATCCCAGTAGTGAAGAGGCTTGGGAGCGACTTCTGGTTGAGAGCCTCTTGAAACTGTCGGGCGAGCACAGCGTGACACACCATGAACCCCTTCAGCCAGTAGTGATGCAGCCCGTCAAGCCCCGGACTTTTCCAGTTCGGGGCCCTACGGACCGCCTCAGCTACGTCATCCGGCGTTATGATGACGGGGTCCATGGGCGTAATACTCGCACACTGACTCGCCACAACTTCCGTCCAAGGGCCCTCGTTGTGGTTTACGGGCTCTGACCACAGGCTGCGCCAGAATGCGACCGTGTCGGCCTGATTTGGTGCAGGGCCCGTTCCACTTACTATTGGTCGCTCCAATGATTTATAGAGCCTCTTCTGATCACTCTGGAAGAGACGATTCTGGTTGAACCGTGTCGACCTCTCGGTATATCGCCGAATCCGCTTTCCCCAAGCAGCGATTCTTTGCTTCAGGTCGTCTATGCGCTCCGTCAGTTTTTGCATTATATCCGGCTGGGACAAACTAACATTTGTCCCAGCAAACGCCATCCTGACGGTGCGCACAATCCTTGGCCTGGTATTGCCTGACCTGAAGCATATCAGTCTGCCGATGAGGGCCCTAGCCTTTGCGATACGTTCTTCAATTCTTATTCTCCAGGCTGGGATAGCACTACTTTGTCCAGTAGCGCGTCCAGCCGTGGAAAGTTTGGCGCCTATAATACGGCAGACTGCCAGTGCGGCGCCAAAAAGAATTGAGTCCGTCTCGCAAAGGTCCCGGCTGGCTTCCAAATAGGTAACCAGCATTGGGTTCAGAGCCCTCACGACGAGCCCGATTCCGCTTGCTTAGGGCTAAGCGGGGAAGTCGCGGTCGATTTTCGAGAGTCGTACTGCGCGTTTCCACAATCGCCTCTTCCAATGTACTCCTCATTTGCTCTAGTTCCAGTTCCTGGGCGACTGTTCCATCATCGTCTGAATCAACCACAACTGGCGTATTCACGGCGGCATCCACATTTGCCGTTTGCTCAGCAAGTTGTGGCGCCGCATCCTCAGCCGCAGCATTTTCACCCGATGAAGGAACAGCCTCACGTCGTAGCCGTTCGAGTTCGGTGACATCAAATGTATTTGAGCGCAAGATATACCGAACTCGGTCTGCCAGGTTTTGCTCAGTGACGGTTACAGATGGCTCCAGCTCAGCAAAAAGTCGATGCATCCTTGCCCGATACGCAAAACCTCCAGTTTCTCCCCCTTTCGCCCTAAAATACGCCCGCAATGCGTTGCTGTTCATCTGGGTTGTCCAACGCATGCGGCGTACTCCACCAGTGGCGGGTGCCGATTGCTGAGCCCGCGAAGACCCTGCCGACACCAAGCCAGCTGGTGGGGATGATGGATGCGAGGAGCTGCTGGGTGGTCGTGCAGCACCTCGCGCTCGGCTGGCGGTTCGCATGCTGTCGCGTCCAGCGCCAGCTCCAGACGCGCCCTGGCGACCTCCAGGCAGCGGCCCTTTGCGCGTTCCATTTGATTCCATCATCCATTTTAGGGCGTCATTTAGCGGGAGACGCCCAGACCCGGCGCCGTTTCATGGTTAGGCCATGTGCACAAGCGGGCCTTGGCACCTTCAATTTTTGCCGAGGCACGGCACTAACACCTCTTGGCAAGGTGCTGACTGACTGCGCCGACGTAGCGGTTTTGTCACATAACCGTTACATCAGCGGGCGATGGGGTCGTCACTTCCCTACGCCTTTAATTATTATTACTATTATTTATTAGTATTATTATTATTATTATTATTTGGGGTATCTATATAGTTTTCTCATCTGGTTGGGTTATATAAATATATAATTATAAATTAAAATGAAAAGATAAATATACATAAATATCAATAAAATAAAATAAATAAAAAAATACATAAATAAATAAAAGCCCAACCAGATGGAAGCCCTCGGCAGGGGAGACCAAACGGCCGAGGGTTAGGGGGAAAGGGAAAGAAACCGGCCGACGATGCGGGCGAGGAGCACCGCCTTCTGCATTTGAGCCCGGAGCGGTCCGCCACGTAGTCGCAGTCGCCTCAGATGACCCGTGAGGCTGACTGGGATTAGCCCATTCGCAGAGACGACTACAGGAATAATTTCGGTCGGCAGACCACCCCACATGTCGGTCACCTCATGAGCCAGGTCCAGATATTTTGTTCGTTTATCTGTTTCGGCTTTAACAAGGTTCTCGTCATACGGAATGGTAATGTCGACCAAAAATATCCTTGACTGTGCCCGGTCCATCAGCACAATATCAGGCTTATTCGCAAGAATAGTCCTGTCTGTGACGATGGCCCGGTCCCAGTAGAGCCTGGCGCGGTCATTTTCGAGCACGGCTTCCGGCAAGTACTTGTAATACGGCAATTTCCGGTCCACGAGACCGTATTTCAGAGCGAGCTCCTGGTGTAGAATTCTGGCTACTAGGTTGTGCCTGTGCAAGTACTCAGAGTTAGAAAGTGCCGAACAATCGGAGATGAATGCCTAAGTGACTCACCGGGATGGCGACAAGCTCGACAGACGTCGACAGTGCCATCATTTAGGATGTATCTCCGATAGTTGTTGGTCTTAATAACCTGATCCTGTATTGCACAGACAAAACCCTCGGTTTCCCCGAAGAGGTCACCGAAACGTAGCCAGTTGAGGGAGGCGACTGTATCTACGCAAGGGCTCATGTAGAACCCTGTAGTACCTCCCGTGGAGCTCCTTCTCCTTCCATACGGTCTCCCGGTCGGAAATGCTCTGTACTGCCGGGTCTTGCCATTGCTCGTTGGCTAAGGATAGAGGGGTAAGTCCTTTATCACTAGAAATGACGTCATTATAGAATGGATCATCCGATCTCGCCAGGAAGTAATTACGGAGGCTGCACACTTCGCGATTATGCATGGTGAGCGCGCTCAGGAAGCCACGCCCACCATGCTTTCGCGGCAAGTACAGCCTCATTACCGACGATCTCGGATGATGCATCCTATGGAACGTCATTGTAGTGCGGACTTTTCTATCCAGGGCGTTAAGTTCGGTCTGACTCCACCTGAGTATGCCAAAGGTATACATGAGGACAGGCATGACCCAGCCGTTATATGCATGTGCCTTATTCACACTGGACAAAAGGCTCTTAAGCACTTTGGTCAAGCGTGCATAAAACAAGTCGCAAGTTGACTGTTTCATACCAGCCTCATCGATACCGATGTTCTGTGACATACCCAGGTATCGGTATGTTTCAGCCTCGGAAAGGGTCCTTAAGTTGACGGGCATAGATAAGTCTATGCCCTCAGAGTTAGCAACCCTACCCCTCTCAACATGGAGGACCGCACACTTATCCGTTCCCAGCTCCATTCCAATAGAATTGCTAAATTCATAAGTGATGTTTAGCAATTCCATAAGATGGGAGCGACTGGAGGCGAATAATTTGAGGTCATACATATAATATGATAAAATAAAGGTGGGTCACTTTTGTACCTCCTTTCCGAAGCTGAAATCCCCTCCCGGAGCCCTCCAGTAAAGTACTGAGAGGGTTCAAAGAGAGGCAGAACCAGATTGGACTCAGACAGTCGCCCTGGAATATACCCCTTCTTATCCTTATGCGGCTTTCCGCAGCCGTCATCCGCTCGCCTAGATGACAAAGGATCGTACTCCACTGCCCCATACACTGCTCGAGGAAGTCTCGAACTGTACAGTCAATCTTGTACAGCTCGAGGACCCTCTTTAGCCATGTATGGGGCACCGAGTCAAATGCCTTTCTGTAGTCTATCCAGGCGGCGGAGAAGTTCCGACGGTTGCGTTTCACCACTTTGCCAATGACCGCGTCAATGAGGAGTGGTTCCTTGGGTCCACAACCGCCGCCCCGACATCCATTTTGAGCGCCCGACATCACCTGATTTGATTCCAGGTGACGAGTGATTCTCGCGCTCAAAATGAATGTTAGTGTCTTGTATATGGTCGGTAGATACGTGATGGGGCGGTATTTGCTCGAGTCTGTGGTAACCTGGCCTTTAGGAACCAAATGAGTAATCCCAGTAGTGAAGAGGCTCGGGAGCGACTTCTGGTTGAGAGCCTCTTGAAACTGTCGGGCAGCCAGGTGCACACCAGCAGCGACCCCTTCAGCCAGTAGTGATGCAGCCCGTCAAGCCCCGGACTTTTCCAGTTCGGGGCCCTACGGACCGCCTCAGCTACGTCATCCGGCGTTATGATGACGGGGTCCATGGGCGTAATACTCGCACACTGGCTCGCCATAACTTCCGTCCGGGGTCCTCGCTGTGGTTTACGGGCTCTGACCACAGGCCGCGCCAGAATGCGACAGTGTCGGCCTGATTCGGTGCTGGGCCCGTTCCACTTACATTGGTCGCTCCAACGATTTATAGAGCCTCTTCTGATCACTCTGGAAGAGACGATTCTGGTGAAACCGTGTCGACCTCTCGGTATATCGCCAAATCCGCTTTCCCCAAGCAGCGATTCTCTGCTTCAGGTCGTATATGCGCTCCGTCAGTTTTTGCATTATATCCGGCTGGGACAAACTAACATTTGTCCCAGCAAGCACCATCCTGACGGTGCGCACAATCCTTGGCCTGTTGTTGCTTGACCTGAAGCATATCAGTCTGCCGATGAGGGCCCTAGCCTTTGCGATACGTTCTTCAATTCTTATTCTCCGGGCTGGGATAGCGCTACTTTGTCCAGTAGCGCGTCCAGCCGTGGAAAGTTTGGCACCTATAATACGGCACACTGCCAGTGCGGCGCCAAAAAGAGTTGAGTCCGTCTCGCAAAGGTCCCGGCTGGCTTCCAAATAGGTCACCAGCATTGGGTTCAGAGCCCTCACGACAGCCCGATTCCGCTTGCTTAGGGCAATGCGGGGAAGTCGCGGTCGATTTTCGAGAGGCATACTGCGCGTTTCCACAATCGCCTCTTCCAATGTACTCCTCATATGCTCTAATTCCAGTTCCTGGACGACAGTTCCATCATCGTTTGAATCAACCACAACTGGGGTATTCACGGCGGCATTCACGTTTGCGGGTTGCTCTGCAATTTGTGGCGCCGCATCCTCGGCCGTAGCATTTTCATCCGATGAGGGAACAGCCTCACGTCGTAGCCGTTCGAGTTCGGCGACATCAAATATATTTGAGCGCAAGATATACCGAACCCGGTCTACCAGGTTTTGCTCTGAGACGGTTAAAGATGGCTCCAGCTCAGCAAAAAGACGATGCATCCTAGCCCGATACGCCAAACCTCCAGCCTCTCCCCCTTTCGCCCTAAAATACACCCACAATGCGTTACTATTCATTTCGGTTGTCCATCGTATGCGGCGTACTCCACCAGTGGCGGGTGCCGATTGCTGGGCCCGCGAAGACCCTGCCGACACCAAGCCAGCTGGTGGGGATGATGGATGCGAGGGGCTGATGGGTGGTCGTGCAGCACCTCTCGCTCGGCTGGCGGTTCGCATGCTGTCGCGTCCAGCGCCAGCTCCAGACGCGCCCTGGCGACCTCCAGGCAGCGGCCCTTTGCGCGTTTTTGCATATTCCATCATCCATAAAAGTGGGCGTCATTTAACGGGAGACGCCCAGACCCGGCGCCGTTTTAGGCGCCGGTGGGGCCATGTGCACAAGCGGGCCTTTGCGCCTTTAATTTTTGCCGAGGCACGGCACTAACACCTCTTAGCAAGGTGCTGACTGACTGCACTGACGTAGTGGTTTTGTCACATAACCGTTACGTCAGCGGGCGATGGGGTCTTTATTATTATTATTATTATTACTCCTACTCCCTAGGCGTAGTCCCGAAATCATGTAAGACAGCCTTCGTGCACCCGATCCCTAAAAAATGTAACCGCTCTGATCCGTCCAACTAAAGGCCTATCGCCATCACCTCCTAGTTCTCTAAAATAATGGAATCTATAATTAACAGCCAGCTCATGCGGTACCTTGACGATCACCAGCTGATTAGTGACCGTTAGTACGGTTGCCGTCGCCGTACCTCAGCTGGTGATCTTGGGTGGAAGCAGTAGAGTCCAAGGGGGAGGCGTTTGGCGTTAGTTTGGACATAGCGAAGGTCTTCGATCGGGTTTGGCACAAAGCGCTTCTTACGAAACTTCCTTCCTGTGGGCTTTCCGAGAAATTGTGCAATTGGATCACCCATTTTCTAGCTGATCAGAGCATCAAGGTCGTAGTAGACTGTGCATACTCCAATTAGGAACTCATTAACGCTGGTGTTCTACAAAGCTGCGTGCAGTCACCAACGCTGTTTCTTCTGCATATCAGTGACATGTTGCAAACCGGTAACATTTCATTGCTATGCAGACGGCAGTACTGGTGATGCTTTACACACCGGCCGTGCCAGATTTCTCAGGAAAACGTCGCTGAGTACCGTGACAAACTTGTCTCTGAAGTCGAGACTTTGTTGAATAAAATTTCGGACTGGAGGTGACTAAATCTAGTCCAGTTTAATCCCCAGAAGACACAAGTTTGCGTGTTTGTCGTTAAAAAGAACCCCTTCATCGTATCTCATCAGTTTCAAGGCACTCTTCCTTGTTGCCTCAGCCAGTATCGGAATCCTCGGCGTCGACATATCGTGTGACGTGCAGTTTCGTGATCACTTGGAAGAGAAGGCCAAATTGGCCTCTAAAGCTTGGCGTACTCAGCAGATTGGGACAGTATTTCATTTCGGCTCACCTCCTGCAAATTTACAAGACGCAGATTCGGCTGCATATGTGATACTGTTCCGATCTCTGAGCTGGGCTACCCAGTACCAGCTCCTTCCATTTGATCGCATCCAGCGCAGAGCAGTTCGAATCGTCGGCGACCGAGCTCTTTCCGATCGGCTTGACTCACTGGCACTGCGGAGATGTTGCATCTCTTTGCGTATTTTATCGCATCTACCACAGGGACTGGCGGTCCACCACTGTGCGATTTAAAAGAAGTATTCTTCCTCACACAATTTCCTTGTGGAATCAACTACCACCAGAGACTTTTCCGGGCCCGTCCCGGCCCTGGTGTTGCAGTTGTTCATGGTCGGCCGTAATTACTTACCATAAGGCGAGCCGTATGCTCGTTTGCCCCACTCCTATAAAAAAAACTATATCAGTAACTTCTTCTGCCACGTATAAAAATTTGTTGTAGAGAAAGAAATCCTCATGTTGTTATCTTCTTATAAATAAAATCAATTACTGTCCGTTAGTCCCGCTAAAACTCGAAAACCGCTCAAACGATTTTGATGACTTTTTTTGTGCGTTTGAGTGGGTCCTACGGTAGTTTTTTTAAACTACCGTAGCTCAGTTGGATCCTGTAGGTGGCGCTGTTATCGAGTTCCAGAAATTACCCTTGCGAAGCCGGGCCAGATCGCTAGTTATGTATATAATGTACTCCATTGACACCATAATCAACGATATCAAATATGTTAAATGCATAACAAATTTTGAATACGAGAAACTAAATTGATTTCAATTTCAATTAATAAATGGGACTCAATTGAAAGTTGCTCTAATACCAGTATGTGTATAATGTGTAAGTATACGAAAGACAACTATATTGACATGTTCTTAACTTTTTGTTTCGGTATACTCGTATATATTTTTGTAAAGTGACTTTAGAAAGATAGAATACCGGAATTCAAATTTTAAATAAATTTGTAACTACATTTCGGCTTATTTCAGAAAAATTGACAATTAATTATTCACCTGAAACGCGTCCATAAACACAAGAAGTTAATAGAGATAGTTTTTTATTCCATATGGATTATTAGTAAAACTTATTCAGTAAGCACTGAAGTTTCAATCATCAGTTAAAAGTTATCCATCTGACATAATTTAAAAGTGAAACTATTTAATTCAAATAACTGCAATACTAAACATTTTAGGTTGTATTTCCTTTTTCAAAAAGGAGGAGGTTCGAAATTTGAGTGTATACTCTTGTTTTTTATGTACATTACGCGATATATTCGCAAATTGAGAACCTATTTTAATAATTTTATTTTTATTTAATAGGCTTTACGTCGAGGAAGGTTCCATTAAATTTTGAAGAATAATTACTCCCCCCAAGGGTGGAATATAGGGGAAAAAGTTCCATACTGGGTTACTTTTTAAGGGATTTCATATGATATCTTCGCAGATGACTGACTTTAAATATTCTTTTTTTTTTAATATAAATATAAATTTGGGAAAAAATTAAACTCTAAGCGTTGCAAATAAGGGTTATTTTTTAGCAATTTGAAGTCGGTTTTTACTCTTTGTTCAAAGCTATAATTATCCTTATCTTAGGATTGAAAAATTGGCCCTGTATAATTTAAAAGCCGTCCTAAAATTTAGTTCATTCCATTCCATTATAAAAGTTAACTGCTGAATATAGGCCTCCCCCGTAGAATGACTCATGCCGTATTTTGCCATAGTTGCCACACTTGGTAGGCAGGTTGGCAGCCGCAGTTCTTTAATATTTTGAGTTGACATCAAGAAGACAATGCTGCCCATCTCCTTTTACTCCTTTTATTTAGTTTATTACTGGTTCGCAAAATACTTCGGCTGTGGATCAAGAAACCAGGCGAGATTTTGTTTTCAAAGGGAAAAGTTTAAAATCGTAGTTTGCTAGCAATTTTCTCATTCTAATGATCGCCACACAAGGTCAGTTCAACTGATCATTTTAACTAATCAGTTCAAACTAAAACTGTTGATATTTTTTTGAATATCGAATTTTCGATATATCGATAATCTTATATGTAAAACTCCGATATTAATATATTCATAATGATCGATATATCGAAATACCACTATTTTAAAAAACATCAACAGTTTTAGGTGGAACTAATCATTGATTAAAACTACTTTTACGGATTTATCGCGTTTAATTTGAATTTTAATTATTTTTATTTTTCATTCCCGACGTTTCGGGTGCTTTCCAGCACCCATGGTCACGGGGGACTGAGGTGACTGACGTCCCGATGTCATTGTTAAACCCAGAGTACCTTCAGCTTTTTTAATTATTGTTTATGGTCCGATCTATGCAAAATGAACTATCTATTGCGGTCTTGCAGTGGTATGCTTGGGTTTAGTTTTAATTTTATTGATTATAGGGTCCCAAGCAGGTGGTAGTACCCAGCCTCCTCCTCTATTGAAATTACGATGTTTTTTTTTTTTAATTTCAATAGCCTCACGTATCATCCTTGGTAAGAATCGGTGTTCTTTCGCGAGGATTTGTGATCTATCAAATCTGATGTAATGGTTGGGGCCGTCTAGAATATGACCACACACTGCAGACTTCCCGGAACGTTGATGCCTTACATCAGCTATATGCTATGCTATGCATGCAGCTATATATTTAACAATTACATCGGGACGTCAGTCACCCCGATGTAATTGTTAAATATATAGCTGCATGCATAGCACAGCATATAGTGCTGGAAAGCACCCGAAACGTCGGAAATTAAAAATAAAAATAATTAAAATTCAAATTAAACGCTATAATATCCGTAAAAGTAGTTTTAATCAATGTGTAGTGTTCGCGTAAATATAAGAAATCATTATGGAACTGATCAGTTGGAATGATCAGTTGAACTGACCGTGTGTGGCGACCATTAGAATTTATAAACATCTATAAATTCCTTAACATTTTAATTATTCTTTTTTACTTTGCGGTTGACAAATTTTGTATTTTTTCTAAAATGTTGTTGTAAAAGCAATACTTCAAGAATGGTGGATTCAAATAATTAGTACTACTAGCTTGTATCTGTTCCAATAGTATTTACAGAATAAATAGCACTTATCCTTTTAATTCAAGGTTATATTAACAAAGACCTAAACTAAGTAAGATGTCCTAAATGATAAACGTCCAAGGTGACAAGCTCAAAAATATTCAACTATACTCAGAATGTATCAAGATATTTAAAAAAAAAACGCTATTTTATTCGTATAATCTGTGTAGTCGTGACCTTTTCTCGGTCGACCCATTCATGTGCCTTATTACAGTCACGTAGTAGCTCTAGTAGTACCACAGAATAAATAGTAGTAGTACTATTATTTATTCTGTGGCTCTACCACATAATAATGATGATTACGATCCTGTCCATCCGAAACATAGAGACTTTGGAAAGAACCCCCAATTATGTAAACATTACTTTATATATTTTTTAGTTTTTGAAGTTGTTTTTAATTTTTATTGATTTTAATTATATATCTATATATATACGCGGATTTTATCGCGTTTAATTAACTTATATTTAATTCCCGACGTTTCAGACGCTTTGCAGCGAGTTTCCGATTTGCGTAGATCAGACCAAAAAAATAATATTCAAAAACTAAAGTCAGCCGGGCTAATATAACGTTGAGCATTGGCTCACTGAATTTAAAAATATAACCAATAGAAATAGAAATAGAAATAGAAACTTTTTTATTCAATGTAGATTATAAAAATACTTATTTAAAGTCACTTTTTTTAATTTACCACTGCATCGGAAAAAAAAACCTCTGTCCTGGGAAGAACCAGCAAGAAACCCAGCGGGACTATTTTTTTAATAATAGCTTACAATCATGTTTACAATCAACAACAC